AAAAAAACTTGATTTGAAATTTGAAATTCAAAAACTGTTGTCCCATGATTTTTTGTCACTACTGAAACACCGAAGGTTTTAGTCCTTAGGCAGAGTCTAATTTTTAGCCACACTGTGTTTTAGAGCAGGAAGCGAGGCTGCATCCCTGTCCCTCGTGGCCACATGGTGAGCAGTTAGATCTCACTCTTTTGTAAATGTGTCCCAAATTCTGAAAATCAGTGTGAAACATTAAGATTTACAGCAATTATGAAAATGTTTTTGTATTTTAATGAAAAATATTATGATTTCATGAGTGTACAGTTGCACCGCGACCCAGAAGGATAAGCGGTTTAGATGATGGATGGATGGATGGATGGAGTGTACACTTGTACAAAGCTGTGTACATCGAAATGAGCTAAAACTGTCATCACCAAAACAGTCACTACTGAAACATTTTAGTTCTTTTAGTGTTATGATTGTTTTGGAAGTGCTAAAATGGAATGTTTAGCCATTTGTTTTGATAAAATAAACATAATTAAGGTACAGGGTCACTCAAAGCAAAACTAATATTTTAATTTTAGTCTAAAGTTCAAGTCAGTTAAAAATCTGATGTGTTTTCAACTCTGACTTTGAACTACTTCAGTATACATATATCACACTTACAGTACTGTGTAAAAGTTACTGTACTGTGAAAATTGCAATTAAATGCTGTTTATATGGTCAATAAGAGACTATTTGCTTAGACATGTACTAATATTACATTTAATACAAGTAATTAATACAAGGAGTAGTGATTTTATATATGTCTGTATGTGCATTTACCATTTAAAAACCTCTCCTTGAAGAAGCCCAGTATTATTTATAGTTATCATCCAATATCTGGTTTATCTAATCAATATTATGTTAGATCAGGAATGCTGCTTTCAGAATCAGATTATTTTGCTAAGTTTGTTACACATACAAGGAATTTGTCTTGGTCAGTCACACATTTAACCTACTAAACAGACCAGACAAGCACACAGACTGTTAACAAGTATTACACTAAGGGAAAAGTGAAATAAAATACAATATATAGAATATAGAATAAAGAATAATAATAAAAAAAACAGCCTAAAAATGTGGAAGGAGCTCAGGAGAAGTGGATATCTGTACATATGCACATATGCAGATGTGTATGTCTGTATGCATGCAGATCAAGTGGACATGTACTTTAAAATATACAATAAAAGCTATTACAGAATATAAAAATGTACAGTAGCACTTGTACATTATGCTACAGGAGGAGTTATACTGTAATACTTTGTTCTAACTAGTTCACAAGACAATTTTTTTTTTTTCAAATTTAGAAATTTGTGTTACTTTTGACTGTATTTGTGTTTATTTGCCTTTGTTTCAGTGAAATGTGGTGATTTTACAAGTAAAACACTTTTACCGCCAAAATAAATAGTTTTATTTTGCATATACAGGGCTGTATATGCAATTAACATGTGTGAGAGTGAGGAAAAAGACCAAATGCCTGGTCATTTAGATCTCAGCGCCCATCCATCTTCACGCCTCTCCAGCAGCCGTTAGAGGTGTGAATATGCTCCTGAGGTTGTTCTCACTCACTGAGACACTCAGACTTTTCTCATGTAAAAGTGGCCCTGATGTCTCGGGTGTGTCAAAGTGCTCCATTCAGAATTGCCAAAGCCACAAAAAAGTCACCCCATGTTTGATTTTAAAAACTCATAGATTTCAGGATTAAACTGTCAGTCAGGCCTGTCTGGCCTGTCAGCCAGAAACGTGTGAAATTGTTTTTGCACAATTTAATTTCGGCATCATATACATTTGATGTGCAAAATATCCCCTGGTATTCGGGGGGGCACATGTTGGCCAGCTTCTCCAGTGTTGGTGGGCTACTAATTCACTCACCATAGTGGTGCTGATTGGTGATGTGCTGTTACACGGAGATCTTACACATCTCCTCTACTGTCTTCAGTTTGAGAAACGAGCAACAGTTCACTTTTTCCACCAGTCTTTTCGGAAAATTGTCAAGTTTTCAGATTTACACACATGCTGTGGCACATTATAAAGTTTTTCAGAGGTATACCGGGCATAGTTACAATTTCTAGGCTATGAAGGACCAACTGGGTGAACCAGTCTGCTACAGCGCCACCATGAGGCAGAGCAGAGCTGCAGCTCTAGTCAAGAACACCAAAGACAGAAACAGAAAAGTTGTTTGGTGGGCGAACCCGTTAAACAACACCCTTTCCCTGAATTTGTGTTTGAGTATCTACTTTCCCTATCTGACAGCATAATGTCATATTATGTTTATTTTCAGGTGGTCCAAGAGATTAATTAGGGGTCCCAGACCTCTATGTATTCACCCCTTGCATACATCCATGTAAACCAACTCACCTATGAGCCTTGCATGGGATTCCTCCTCTAACTCTTAACTATGGGGTAAAATTGCCTCACATTGATAATCCTAAATCATTGCAAATGTTCATGGCACAAGCATAGTTCAGTAATGTAATCAATGTATATTACAACACTGCTGAACAACCTCAGGGAACAGTTTTTGAATATAAGTGATGAGCGCAATGTCATTTAAGGTTCAGGATTTATGAATTTAGCAAGGCTCAGGATTGTAAATGTGCACATGGTTGCATGCAAAAGTTTGGGTTCCCCTGGTCATGTGTTGATTTTCTAATTGAATATAAGTAACGCATCCTCTACAGAAAACACTTCTGCCCATTTTAATACACAACTACTGTTTATTTGCTAAATATAATATATTGTTGACATAAAACCTTAAATGTGTCCTGTTCAAAAGTTATGGAATATTTTATATTTGATAAATTTTTCCAAAACGTCAAACAATAAATAGACATTGTAATCTAAAATCAGCAGAAAAATGCCAAATTTAAGTGTTTACTCTATAGAGGATGTAGAAACTTATTAAAGCAATAAGCCATGAGAGGCTGTGCGTTACTGTGATTTGTCATGGGAAGGGTGTTGTTAGGCATGACGTGAACCTGAGTAAAACTCCCTTCCCCATGATAAAATCACTGTAACGCACAGCCTCAAGTGGCTTATTGCTTTTAAAAACGGTGGCCAGCATAAACTATGATAAAATAAACCATATTTCAGAAAATAATTTAAGTTATTATTAATAATAATCAACAAAAACAAGTACTCCGCCAAGCAATGTAGTTCCGTTAGAGTACGGTATTGATGCCAAGCAACCATAGACTGCTAAATGAGGAGAACGTTCCCCACCTGGGCTCCAAATGAAGGGCCCATGTAAGCCCAACATACACTACCCATTATGGTCCCACACTGTACTCATTTTATACTCATCTTTAACCCATATGGCCTGCACCTCAAGGGACCCATGTGGACAAAATGAGATGGGTCCAAAATGGGCTACCAGGATGGGGCCCATTATAGAGACCCAGGTATCCACAGCCCAGTTTGCCAATGAAGGTCCCAGTCTGTGCCCATGTTGTACCCATGTAAAACCCACTTGGACTATAAGCTAAGGGCCTGTATAAGCCCAACATACACTACCCATTATGGTTCTACATTGTACCCATCTAATACCCATCTTTAACCCACATGGGCTGCTGCTCAAGGGGCCCACGTGGAGACTGAGGACAAAATGAGTTGGGTCCAAAATGGGTCACTTTGTTGGGGCCTATCATTTAGCCCATGATAAACCCACATGGGGCCCATATGGATATGCTGGATGGGTCGGTCACCCATCAAGACATTTTTGCGATACACAGTATGCATAGCAATATTTTGTTTTTCTAAGCTCTGATAATTTTGAACTGTCAAAAAAGAACCAGTGATGCTGCATTTAAAAATAACATGCAGCTGATCAGTATTCATCCACAATATTCTCAGAAAAGCTTATTGTGATATCACTGACACTATTATCTTAATTGCCATTGAGCCCATTTATGGCATTTGGCAGATACATTTATTCAGGTTGACACATTTTTTAAATCGTGTCACAGAGGTAAATGAATGCAGTGTAAAGACTTTTGATGTAGTGTGCAGGTGGGGAATTGAATCCCAGTCTACCACATGGAGGGCAGCAATGTCCCTCCTCAAACTTACCTGATTTACCTCATCCAACAATTGTCAGGTTTAGTAGGTGAGTTAGAGCAAAGAAACCACCAAACTGTGTTGGATTTGAATACCTCTTTTTAAGTGGGTGCTGTCTTGGCATTTGTGTTGTTGAATGGCTTGCATTCAGAAAACAAACCTGGCAGCTTTATTTATTAGGACAGAAAGTGTACTTTTATTTGACGTACAAAGCAGGTGCAGTTGGAGTCAGTTGATATTTGTATGCGAATATACATCCAGGTGATATAAATCTAAGAGGCCAGCTGTCATTTCCTGCTATCTCAGAAATGTTTCTCAATCAATGCTAGGAGTAAAAAAGGTTTTGGAATCCAAGCATTTTCCTACCTCTGTTGTCGGAAGAAAACCTTGTATCTCCAAAATGGTAACTTTACAGGAGAAGGAAAAAACCTACTTTACTTTTAATGTAAGTGAATGGAACAAGACTTTTTTCCAAGTTGTTTTGGGTCATTTTTTTACTCCATTCACCATGAAATTTACATACAATGTAAAGGATAACAGAGATTTTCAAATTATGTCCAAAACAATAAAACGTCAAAAATGAAGATACAAGGTTTTCTTTCGATAGCAGCGATATGTTAGCATTTCTTAAGAACTACTTTTTTCATCCAATCAAGCCATTAGTAAACAAACAATGGGTTTGATGTGTTCAGATTACCCTGTAGGGATGTAGGGATAATGTTTTGGAAAGGTGCGGGGTGGATGACTGCTGGTGGCAGCACCGCAACACGATAACTGAGGTTCTGTAGCTTAACCAACATGGATCTAGCCTAGATCGCATCATGAGAATAGCTGCCCACTAAAGAAATGCAGCCACAGATGAAGTGTCCAGGAAGTGTCCTGCCATTTCAGCAGAGGCAGCGCACTTACCTTCCCTTTCCCCACAGATAGAGATCGGCACTTTGCCCCCAGATGAGGACAATGACCCTGCACCAGGTGCTTCACTGGAGGAGGAGGAAGAAGAAGAATATGAGCGGGAAAGAGGAAGACAGGATAAGAAGAAATTGCCAATAAAGCCCCAGCTTATTCCATCAGGCTCTGGGGAGCCAGGGGTTTTGATGGGACCTGACACCCAGGGAGGTCTGTACCACACACACAAACTCCTTAAATCCTTAAACTCTTCCTGACCACTATTGTTAGCCTCCAAGTACTCACCACAATATAATGCCACTATTCCATTTAACTGGCAATCTGATTGGTTAAATGTGTTTTAATCATCCTGTAACTGCTTTCTTACATGCATCACTCCCATCATCTCTAACTGTCTACATTGAATCATTGTCCATGCTGTTCTAATCAGTCTCTTAACACCTAATCTTGTCTCTAACAAGAGGAGGAGCTTCGTCTGACACCCATTGACATCCTTCATATCTCTGGAGACTCTTTGGGTTCTGGGGACAACTCTGGAGGTTCTGGAGCTTCAGAGACTTCTGGGGAGACTCTCAGTTCTGGAGTATCTGGTTCTGGGGAACCTCTTGGCTCTGGAGGTTCTGGGGACTTCAGTTCCGGAGGCTCTGCAGACGTTGGTTCTGGAGCCTCTGGGGACATTTTTTCTGAAAGCTCTGGGGACACTGGTTCTGGACTTCCAGGAGACCTTATTTCTGGAGACTCTGGGGACTTAGTTTCAGGAGTCTCTGGGGATTTTGTTTCCGGAGTCTCTGGGGACTTTGTTTCCGGGGTCTCTGGAGACTTTGTTTCCGGAGTCTCTGGGGACTTTGTGTCCGGGGTCTCTGGAGACTTTGTTTCCGGAGTCTCTGGAGACTTTGTTTCCGGAATCTCTGGGGACTTAACTTCTGGAGACTCTGGAGACTTACCTTCTGAAGTCTCTGGAGACTTTATTTCTGGTATCTCTGGGGACTTAATTTCTGGAGTCTCTGGGGACTTTGTTTCTGAAGTCTCTGGGGACCTTGGTTCTGGGCCCTCTGGGGGTTCTGGGTTAGTGATAACGCTCATCCCTGACACAGGTCAGTACTAATGACTTTAGTGTGAACTGTAGTCTGCACGTCTAAAATTACTTTACTCCATAGAATAGAATGTGATACATTTCACAGAGGGTTAAGTGGTTTTGTCTGCTTTGGGAACAGTTACAAGTGCATAGAGCTGAAAGTTTCTTCTAGGCATTTAAATAGTAGATTTTAGCAGGAATGACACTTAACTGGTTATCATTCATTGTTGCAAGCATTGCTGTCATGATCGTGAGTGACTGTGATGTTGGGGGGGGAAGCTAATTTCTCTTTTACTGCATCACCTTGTCTTTAACAAGGGGAGGAGCTACCCTTGACACCCACCACCATCCCTGAAGAAGCCACTGGGGTTTCTGGGGAGTCTGGGGCTCCTGAGGTGTCTGGTCTTCCCGAGGTGTCTGGTTTACCTGAGGTGTCTGGTTTACCTGAGGTGTCTGGCTTACCTGAGGTGTCTGGTTTACCTGAGGTGTCTGGTTTACCTGAGGAGTCTGGGATTCCTGAGGTGTCTGGTTTACCTGAGGAGCCTGGGATTCCTGAGGAGTCTCAGACTCCTGAGGAGTCTGAGACTCCTGTGGAGTCTGAGACTCCTGAGGAACCTGAGGAGCCAGTGGTAACGATAATCCCTGACATAGAAAAAGGTACTTTGACTGCCTAGTAGAGCAATATTTTCAAATTGGTAGTAGGATGACAGCCTAACATATAGTCTCATTCTTGTTTTTAGCCCAAATTGGGATACCTTGGGTCATTCTATTTATCCACACTAGTTCTATTACATTTCATTAATGCTAATACATATATTGTACAGTATATCAAATGATATATGATGTTCTTCCCTTCTCCTAAAGCCATGTACTTCATTTAACTGGCTGTTGGTTAAATGTCTGTTGATTTGCATATAACTCAACATCATTACTACTCACTTACCTGATCTCTTTGTCCAACCATGTGCTAATCCATCTCCTAACACCCTAATGTTGTGTCTAACAAGAGGAGGAGCTGCTTCCCACCACCCAGACCACCCCCCAGGAGGGGACTGGGGAAACAATAGAGTCAGGGGAGTCTGGGCTACCTGACCTTGACATTGAAACTGAAACTGACATACAAGGTCAGTACCCTGTCGATCTATTTTGTTGTTATGGACACCTGAGATAAACATACAAAGTACATTTATCCAAATGAGATAAGAGATACGTGACCAGAATTAGGTTGTTCTAGTGGCTGGTGTTTGTTTATTGGCACTACAGCTATATTAGTCCCTTGTATGTAGAAAAACCAAATGTCTTGTTTTGGTGCAATGTCCTGCAAGCTCACAACAGTCTTGTGATTGAGTGCCAAGGGGGTTGTTAGTGCTAAAACAGGACTCATGTAGACGTTTTAAGCCCTTCACAACAAAAATGGGCATTTGACGTCCGTGAGCACCAGGGTCCGTATTACAGAAACCTCCTATCTTTTTGTCTTAACTTAAGATCTGACAGGTCAAGATAAGATTTTTCACAAATTTGTATTACAGAAGCAAATCTGATCTTAATTTAGCAATCTCACTTTATCTTACAGCATCTTATCTTATCTCAAGTTAAGAAATCTTAACTTACTCGATCAAAGTCGACAATCAAGGTCCAGTAAAACTAAAGCACGATAAACTGAGAGTTAAGAATACCGTGAGAGCGCCCCCTGCTGTTTATCAGAGCGTCGTCGCTCCCCAGTTTCAGTCTCCATTTCCCAAACGCTTTAGCCGAGCACGCTAACGTTACTCCTCCTAATAAACAGACACACGTTCAGCTCCGTCTCCTCATTATTCACCACCATCACTGTAATATTTCATCATCAACATTAACACACGAAGGTAATCAGAGGGGCGGTGGAGATCGAGTCTGCAGAGTCTGGGGTTTTAAAACACTGTTCGAAAAAAAACTCACAAGTTAAAGCTCCGTTTTCAGTGTTGATAAATGTAACGTTGTTATGCTAGGTAAGTTATAGTGAACTCTGCTGCCTGACACTGCATAACGCCTCTGGGGTTTACCTTAAAGTTAGGACAGTATTTAGGAGGTTTAGTCTAGTTAGGTTGTTTCTGTAAAACTGTTTTCTTATCTGGAGTTAGGATAAGATTATGAACTTAAAAACTGTTAGTCTGTAATAGCTTCTGTTCAGTCCTAACTGAAGTTGTCATGGTGACTAAACAGATTTTAGACTTAAGAAGTTTCTGTAATATGGTCCCTGATCCTCAGATCTGTAGAGTGAACATCTGGATGGGATTCGCTCCATCATTTCTCTGTTCCTGAACGGCTGTTGGGATCTTGCAGGATGCTGCAGAATAACAATCATGTGTTTACATTTTATAAAGTGAGACATCATTTAAAACTGTCTATTACTTGAGAGCTGTTATGCATACATAAGGAGCTCATCCTGATTTAAGAGAATGAACAATCCCGGTTTGATAAAGTCGCATACTACACTGAGTTGCCGGTTTATTAGGTACACACAAATTGTGTGTTCCAAGAAATTATACACTGTGTGATGTAAATCAGAGAGTCTGGAACATTAGTTAGGGGTCAGTGAAGCATTAGAATGGGCAAATGAGCAACCTTAAGGCCTTGATAGTTGGTAGTAGGCTTACTAGTTCTAGCATCTCCCAAAAGGCAGTCATCCTTGGCTTCTCTCATTAAGTAGTCCAAGAATGATCCTGTGGATGAAAATAACACATCCAAATTCAACTCTGCTGCATCTTAAAATACATTACTGCAGAATTCAGACTTCTATCTGAATGTTGTACAACAGCCCTGTGATGGACTAGCAACCTGTCCAAGGTGTTTCCTGCCTTCCGCCCAGTGACCACTGGGATAGGCTCCAGCACCACTCATGACCCAGGAGGATAAGTGACTTGGATAATGTGTGTGTGTTGTACAACAGCTGAAGAGCATGTTGAATGCCGACGTTGTCAGGAAAGAACAACAAAGTGCTTCTCCATTGGGCAAAAGAGCATCAGAACTAGACTGCTGAGTAATAGGAAAAAGTTTCCAGGTCAGTCAAGTTTCCCGGATCCTTCTGCATCATGCTGAAGGGTCAGAATTTGAAAGATGAGTCTGTGGAACTTTCCAGTTTGGTGTCAACAGCGCAAGCCGGTGGTGGTGTGGGGAATTTTCCTCACATATTAGCACCCTGATATCACTGAGGACCATCTGGATGGTGTATCTGAACATCCTTGCTGACCGTCATGACTTCAGTTTATTCACACTTGGATGAACAATTCCAGCATGATAGTTTGCCATGGCACAAGCCACTGAATGGTTCTAGGAACTTGAAAGCAAGTTCTAATGGCTTCAGTGGCATGCACAGTCCCCAAATCTCAACCCTGTCAAGCTTCTTTAGGATGAAGTGGGAAGGGCAAGACTGTACAGCCGTCCAACACTGTGTGAAATCTAGTGTAGCACTGCGTTGCCCAGTGTAACCTACATCTTGTAGAATCCATGCCCAGATAAATGTATGCTGTTCTGAAAGACGGGGCTGGCTTTAGCCTTTTGGGGGTTCCCCTGGACCTACACACTTTATAATGCTTAAAAATAAAGTAGTATTGACACTATGCTTTGTTAGTGAAGGCTAAAACACTTGGAGCCCGCTATCTAACTGACATCAGCTTTTTCCAATCCAATAGCAGTTTCCTTCAGGCTAAGCTAGTTAGAGAACATTCATAGAGCTCGTTATTTTTTTTCCTGTTTAATTGGTCTTACAGAGTTATATTGTTGTTAAAATATCAACAACAGCATTGCATTCAGGGCAAACCAAAACTAATTTAGGAATCTTCACTTAGTTTACATTAGCAAACCAGTTAGCTTGTTGTAAATTTTTGCAAAATTACTATAAAATTAGAGGCTAATTAGTAACAATGACTACCACTAGTTGTCTAATTATGAAAATGTATAACTGATGATTGAATGCTAATGAATGTTCGTTTGAGGTTCTAATGAGTTACAATTTAAATTACACATAATCTCAGTGTTCTCGATTTGGATCGACTACTTTTTTTTTTTTTTCAATTAAAAGCCAAAACCAATAAGACAAAATAACATGGCAAAAAAAAAAAATCAACAACAAAAATCTTTTAGCTTTTTTCATCCTCTTATTTTCTTTTTTGTTTTGCTTTCTAACTGGTTTGCGTACCTTCTTTTTAGATAGATAGATAGATAGATAGATAGATACTTTATTGATTCCAAAGGAAATTTAGCAAATGGCACAGCATTTTGACAGCATAATGGTACAGTAAGAACCCAGAAGTTGTTAAGGGGCCCCCTGTTGGACACAGAATCCTAAGTAGCCTCTTTTGTCACTTATTAGGTAGAACCGGCTCTGCTGAAGGCCAAATGAGCAGATTACCAGATAGGTGTACAGTTAACTGGCAACTCAGTGTATGTAGACATTAATATCTGTTTCTCTTAATGATCTTTATGAACACACTAAGGCATAAGTCTTATTATAGAATCATGAAGATTGGGCCTCATTCTCCAATATCTTCCTGAGTTTGTTCTTCAATGTGTTCTTCAGAAAGGAGAGAAAAAGTCTACGTCAGATTCATGACGTGTTCTTAAAGCGCAGAACCGTTCTCACCTCTGTGTTCTTGAGTGTGTGTAGATTCTGTTCTCACCTAAGAACAAATCCCAAATAACACTTTTACGAAGAAATTTCTTCTTAAGAACGGTTGGTGAACGAGGCCTAATGTGTCTTTAGAGCCGATCATTGTAAATTGTTCGGGTCAGAGAACCGTAGATCAATGAGAGCGTGCGATTTGCCCACCATTTTCTTCCGCTTTAGCATTCAAAGAGAAACACTCCTTCAAGTTCTTCGTCAGTTTCCTGCTTTCATGTGTTGTGACGCATGTTTGCGTGTCTTGTGCGCGTCGTCTTCTGTTTTGGTGGTAAGGTATGCCCACCTGTCTGCTCTGTACCTGCCTGGGAGGATCTGTGTACTGCGACGACGTGAAGCTGGTGCACGTGCCTCCTCTCCCCAAAGATACCACTCACTTCTACGCCCGCTACAACAAGATCGCCAAGATCAACAAATCCGACTTTGCCAACATGAGTAAGCGTTTCCTAAAACGTTTGTCAATTATGAGGCAACTGCTTTTGTAGCACCCAAACATTTATAACTGAATGGAGCAGAAAATAGTTATTTGATTAATAAAAGTGAATTAATAAAAGTTAAAAATTTACTCAGAAATTAGAGCCAAAGAGATAAACAGTATTTTTAAAATGACTGATTGAACTTTTGTCTTTTACTCTCCATCATAAAGACAAGCTAAAGAGAATCGATCTGACCAACAACGCCATCGCCAAGATCGATGATGGTGCACTCTTTGGTCTGCCTGCTTTGGAAGAGCTGGTAATTAGGGAAAACAAGGTGGCACAACTCCCGGCTCTGCCACCCACCATGACCCTCGTGGACGCCAGTCACAACAAACTGGGCAGCATTGGCATCCAGAACGAGGCCTTCAAGGTAAGAGGATTAGTTTGTGTGGGTGAACTCTGTGGGACACATTGATTACAAACGGTTTCAATAGTTGTCTTGTTATTATAGGCTGGTTTGTTCTGTGCAGGATGTATTTGGTTGATTTAAATGTACATTTGTCAATTTCTAAGTGTAGTTTTCTCTCAGTCAGATACAAAATAAAGGTTCTGTTCAGGTACATTTTTCGTTCATCAAGGTAAAAACAGTGTAAATGTTCCCTCAAAGGTACAACAGTGGTTTTAAGGTCCAATTGTGAACCTTAAATAAGTTTCTCCAGGTGAAAAGTTCGTATTTGTACCTTTTCATAACCAAATGTTTTAAAACAGAACAGTAAAATAAAAGCCTGGAGACGAGGCGGGGTGTGTGGAGATAATACAACTTAGAAAATACAGTTTCAATGGATTATGGTACAGTTATGTTCCCAGTTAGGTTCCACCCCAGTGAGAAGAGGGGCACTGCCCCAGTGAGAAGAGGGGCACTGCCCCAGTGACAGTTTAGTACCTCAATTTCTGATAAGATAATTAAGCCTCACTATGTAACTGCCAAATGCTTTTAGAATTAAAAGCCCAATTTTGCCTTTTGTCCAGACATTCAGAACCACAACAGTTCACAAAAATGTAACTTTAGTTCAAAAGTGGAATTTGTAAAAGTTAAAAACTATAGTTGAATATTGTTTGTTGTGTTCTGTGGTATACCGTAACTCAGCGTTGTGTCCCTCAGCCTCGCTGATTTGACAGAATTCACAATTCTCTGTCTCTGTTCTTCATCAATGTTCTCTCACTACAATACCCAGCATGCACTATACAAATACAGCACACAACCAGTGAGAATCTCTGTGGTGTCAACCACTCATGACTGCTGGCCTTGCCACTGATTTATGGACTAATACTGTAACTCATACAACAGCGTAGAAATATCACCTGAAAAAAATAATTAATTAATGTATTCATTTATTTATTATTGGAAATTAAGTGAATGAAGGGTGGTTTTGCACAGTACTTTATCAATAGGATTATGAGCCATGAACCAAATTGTTTTTGTTGTTTTTTTTCATTTTGACAGACATGAACATTTATTTTGAGGCACTCTGACTTGCCATCGTAGCACCACACTGTGAAAGAATGGATCCACTGTATACAGTGTATAGGCGCAGTCGTGGGCTGGAGGTTAGGGAGGTGACCAGAAGGTCGCTGGTTCGATCCCTTGAGCCAACAGTACGTGACTGAAGTGCCCTTGAGCAGGGCACCTAACCCCCAACTGCTCCCCAGGTGCTGTGGATAGGGCTGTCCACTGCTCTGGGCAAGTGTGCTCACTGCCCCCTAGTGTGTGTCTTCACTAGTGTGCATGTGGTGTTTGACTGCACGGATGGGTTAAATGCGGAGGTGAAATTTCCCCTTTGTGGGACTAATAAGGGTCACTGATTTTCCCTTTAATCCAATGAAACAGCAGATGCACATGCAGAAAATGCATCACCTCATCATTAAGCCATGCATTCAATAAATTCACTGGAAACATTCATTTATATATAAAAAACTATGTTTATATGGATGATTTTAAATGGTATATATCCTTTTTTTCCATCATACCTGAGTCATTCTGCTCAACACCGGTTTCTGAATAACAACAGTGGTGGAGCTACTTTTTGGTGGAAGAAACTGCCAATCTTAACACCCTTTTTGGGGCCCGTTTTACTGTTTTACTCTGAGAGGATGAGAAGCTCACAGACAGGATGGTCCGTCTGTAACGCCGGTATCTCTGTGTTTTAGGACATGACTGGGCTGCTTTACCTCTACTTGACGGACAACAACATTGACCACATCCCTCTTCCTCTGCCGGACAGCCTGCGCTCTCTGCACCTACAGGTACCTGTACTCCCACCTCACTGCTGCCACCTAGTGGACATTCACAGCAAGTGACATTTCACTTTCACATATATTTCTCACAAATTCTTTCTCTAATTCACTGTTTTACTTAATTGTAGGGACTAAACTTTACATCAGAGCTCCTCCGCCTGCATTCTTACTTTACATTATTAGCCACATTTTACTGTTTTCTTTCTCTAATACAGCCAATTCCTCTGTTGAGGGGCTTCTTCATGATAGTCAGGAAAGATACGAAAATATCTACTTTATGCATCCAGCTGAATACCTGTCACAAAACTTAACTTGCATTAACAAAGTAGGGTTTTTTTGTTTCTTTTTTATGTAACCACAACTTGCAACACACAGGACATGGATCATTCTACCACTGTGGTGGCAAACGGTGCCCCACAACTTTGAAGCCACTAAAATGAACCCAAAATACAAATAAAGCATGACAGCAGGTCAAACGATGATGCATAAACGATGCATATCCAAGGAACTTATAACAATGCCTGTCGCATTCACAGAGATATGAGCAGCATAGCAAGCATTTATTTTACGCTGACATTATTCAGAAAATAAGAAAACCATGCCTGTAAAAATGATACATTTTCTGAAAGATTTCAGCCGATTTTAAATAAAGACTCTGACAAGCCTTAGACATTTTTTCACTGCTGACCTGTGCCTTCGTGTAAATAGCTGGCACCAACCATGACCTGCCTAAGGATGCTGTACACAGCCTTTGGTTCTGACCACAGACCTTGAGCCAGTCACTAAATGAGAACATGCTGTAGCCGATCAAGCTCAACACACCCCTCCGCACTCGGATGGTATTATTTTTATGTGAAACAACAATTTTGATATTTGTTGTTCAGTTTAATTTATTGTCTGTACAATGTTAAAATTATTTCAAATATACACACCGATCAGGCATAACATGATGACCACCTCCTTGGTTCTGCGCTCATTGTCCATTTTATCAGCTCCACTTACTATATAGGTGAACTTTGTAGTTCTACAGTTACAGACTGTAGTCCATCTGTTTCTCTGATACTTTGTTAGCCCTCTTTTACCCTGTTCTTCAGTGGTCAGGACCCCCATGGACCCTCACAGAGCAGGTACTATTTGGGTGGTGGATCATTCTCAGCACTGCAGTAACACTGATGTGGTGGTGGTGTGTTAGTGTGTGTTGCGCTGGTACAAGTGGATCAGACACAGCAGTGCTGCTGGAGTTTTTAAACACTGTGTCCACTCACTGTCCACTCTATTAGACACTCCTACCTTGTCAGTCCACCTTGTAGATGTAAAGTCAGAGATGATAGCTCATCTGCTGCTGCACAGTTTGTGTTGGTCATCCTCTAGTCCTTCATCAGTGGTCACAGGACACTGCCCACAGGACGCTTTTGGCTGGATAGTTTTGGTTGGTGGACTATTCTCAGTCCAGCAGTGACACTGAGGTGTTTAAAAACTCCAGCAGCACTGCTGTGTCTGATCCACTCAGACCAGCGCAACACACACTAACACACCACCACCACGTCAGTGTTACTGCAGTGCTGAGAATGACCCACCACCCAGTACCTGCTCTGTGAGGGTCCATGGGGGTCCTGACCACTGAAGAACAGGGTAAATGGGGGCTAACAAAGTATCAGAGAAACAGATGGACTACAGTCTGTAACTGTAGAACTACAAAGTGCACCTATATAGTAAGTGGAGCTGATAAAATGGACAATGAGCGTAGAAACAAGGAGGTGGTCAGAATGTAATGCCTGATCAGTGTAAATATCACTTTGTATGTTGAAACATAAAATGTCATTTTTTTTTAATGACACCCTGCATGACTCTCATTAGAAGAAAGACTAACTCTGAGAAGTCCAGTAAAGACAGGCAGCTCCATGTGTCGCAAAAAACACTGTGTCCGTTTCTCATGAAGCATTAAGTGATTTTAAAATTGAAATCAAATAAGCAGATGAACGCAATATTTGTACATTTCTACACACAATGAGACTTTGAAACTGAAGCGGCAGTGGACTGTATTTTAGAAGGGCTCAGATTTTAGTAAGAACAGTCAACAGTGGTGTAACTTTACAGACTTTTGCTGTTGTCGGAAGAAAACCTTGTATCTCCAAAATGGTAACTTTACAGGAGAAGGAAAAAACATACTTTACTTTTAATGTGCTCCACATTTGAGCTGCATATCAACGTTTGCAACCCCGTTTGCCACTGCAGAGGTAGAACATCTCACCTGTTATCAACCTTAGACTGAATCTAAGGGTTTGATTCGAGAAACGTCTTTATATCTGGCTAAGTTTAACGCATCCGAACACGCACAGTTGTTTAAGCTTGTTTAGAAAGTCCTGAATTCAAACCAGCTACCAGAAATGTGCATCTGGTTTAAAGGGTCCACCTCAAACTGAACCTTCCTCACTTTTATTTTCAAATAAAAGAGTTTGATGTAGTACATCAGCACAGTTTACGTTTTAAAATGTGCTGTTCGCTCCTCAGTCTATACAGTCTCAGTTTTAATTAACTGTTTAACTGCAGGTCCATTTTTCATTCATCAAGGTACAAACAGTGTAAATGTTCCCTCAAAGGTACAACAGTGGTTTTAAGGTCTGATTGTGAACCTTAAATAAGTTTTTCCAGGTGAAAAGTTCGTATTTGTACCTTTTCATAACTGAATGTTTTAAACAGAACAGTAAAATAAAAGCCTGGAGACGAGACGGGGTGTGTGGAGTCAGTACAGCTTAGAACATATCATTTCAGTGGATTATGGTTCAGTTATGTTCCCTGACTAAAGGTACTGAGATGAACCCTCGAGGGTCCCACCCCAGTGACAAGAAGGGGACTGCACCAGTGACAGTTTAGCACCTTTATTTCTGAGAGTGTATATATCAACTTATTTAGCCTACAGCAGTGGAGCTCAGCCTGATTTTTGAATGTGGCAGCCAATCAGAACGGAGCTCATTTACATAATCCTCTACAGGGAGCAAACGTGAGTAATGCATTATTCTGCAAATTCTAGTGCAGAATTTCTATTAATGTGTTTAAGATATTAAAAAAAACACAAAAATATAAAATGAGCCGTAACCCCGCCCCCCAATATGTTAAATTCAGCACATAAACAGTGACTGTGCAGAACTGTGTACCCTGTAGAGGATGTATAAACTTATTTCCACTCAGAAAACCAACAAAACATGTAATTCATTCCTAATTCTAAAGGAATTCTAAGGGAAAACAGTCATGTACAAATGAATTATGACTGTTTTTGGTACATTAAATGACAGAAATGCTACACAAGAGTCTCAGGAAGGAAAATAATACAAGAAAAAGTTGTGATATGGGCCCTTTAAGAGCAGAGTCATGACATACTTCTCTGTTAACAATGTCTCCCGCAGAACAACAACATCCAGATGATACACGAGGACACTTTCTGCCATCTGAACGACTTGAACTACATTCGCAAAGCGCTGGAGGACGTCCGCCTGGACGGCAACCCCATCAACCTCAGCAGAACCCCGCAGGCTTACGTGTGTTTGCCGCGTATTCCTGTCGGCGCCCTAATTTAAGCACACACACACGCACAGATACACACCAAAACCTCTGTGAGAGTTTCCAACGTTTTTTTTTTTTTACTTTGGGCTGGAGTAAACACTTGTATATGAATGGCTGTCTTATACTGGAGGTTTGCACACACTTCCACTCTTCAGCTGCTCGTTCCTCTCAATAACACCATTTTTCAGTTCTTTTTTGTTTTGTTTTGTTTTGTTGTGTTTTCTTCACCCACACCTACATATGTGCAATAAACCTCTGAATCTCTGGATTCAGTCACTTAAATTCCTAATAACTCATTATAATTTGGACTAAATTAAAGGAGACAGTCACGCTTTCCTGCTCAAACTCACTGAGGTGGTTAAAATGAACACTTCTTGCACAGACGAATGAGTTTCGGATCACATAAGCGAACGCAAACTGTCTTATTGATCCAAAAAAAACCAGAAATCTTCCACTTGTTTCACTGGCCATGACAAATAAATGAAATAAGTAATGAAATAAATAAATATGTTTGTTTTGTAAAGAAAAAAAATAATGATATATTGTTAATATTCTTAATATTCACATAATTCTAACACTTTTTTTGGAAACTCGCATAGCTTAACGCCAATTGAAGCTGGTGCTCGATGAATTTGGAAGGTAAAATTGATTAATGCAATAAAAGAAGCATTATAAACACGAACACTTTGTTGTAAAGTCTGTATTGTAATATAAAAAATATATATATTCTGAAACCTTTTGTATGTGAACTGCAGTATTTGGTATAGAACGATTCAAAAATGTTTTTCTGACCACAAGGCAGCAGCCTTCAAATGAACAAAACTATTGTACTGTGTGGGGGCCAATGGGGACGGAGGGGGGGCTATTATACTAGCCTGGCAATGTGTGCTTTGTATGGAAATACCACAATTGAATAAAGTTGTCTTCATGACCGCTCCAACACAGGTGGCTCAACGTTTTCATTGACGGCTTATGCCGGGCTGTAAAACTTAAAGCGATGAATCTTTGCACTGCAAAAATTGGTATATTGTCAAGTTAAATACAGTCAGTAAACCTAATATTTCTCCTGTTGAGATTGTTGTGAGCTTAATTTAGGATTATTTAGAGCATTTCTAGACATCATCTAAACCACTTATCCTTCTGGGTCGCAGTGGGGTGCTGGAGCCTATCCCAGCTGTCATTGGGCGGAAGGCAGGATACACCCTGGACAGGTCACCAGTCCATCGCAGGGCAGACAGACAAACATACACATTCACACACATTCACACCTAGGGGCAATTGAGCATGTCCAATCAGCCTGACTGCATGTTTTTGGACTGTGGGAGGAAACCGGAGTACCCGGAGGAAACCCATGCAGGCACGGGGAGAACAGGCAAACCCCACACAGAAAGGAGCCTGGTCGCCCGGCCAGGAATCAAACCCAGGCCCTTCTTGCTGTGAGACGACAGCGCTACCCACTGCGCCACCGTGCCGCCCATTTCTAGACAGTTCTAAGTAATTTTATTAAGTAAAATAATCCCAGTACATAATTTTGCTTGTTTTAAGGAATGTGCTTAAAACCAGCCACATTATCTGCCAGTATAGTGAGATAATTTTGCTTAACCTCTTTAACTCCTTGAGATCACCGGTGGCTCCAAAACGCACTTCGCCATATTCTTTACTTCATAACTTTCATATTTCATAAGCTACATTCAGAAGGTGGGGGTCGTATGAGAGCTGTAACTGTCTTCTTTCCAGTCAAATAGATGGGTGATGTAATTTTAAACCCTTATAATAAAAGAAGCTGAACTCACAATTTTTTTTTTCTACTGAAAGTCGACCCATTTTTCACAAATCTGGGCTATAAACTATAAACAGATGGCGTCTCTTCAGTGATCTGCTCTGTAAAAAATTCCTTTTATTAAAAATATAAAGAGCGTCTAAGATTTTTGGCTTTCAGCAGTAAATTGTAAGCATATAGCAATATGTTTATGATCATAAAACACATTTTTTGTTAATTTGAGGGGAGCTTTTACAAAAAAACACCAACATTTTAACTTTATTTCATGCAGTTACTGAATAATTTGCCTTAGGATTTGGGCATGTAAATTCAGATGGAAAGACCAAAATATGGAGAATAACTAAAATTACTTAGGTAAATAATGTCTAGAAATCAGCTAAATAATCTAATAATAAGTGCACGACAATCTCAAAATGGAAAATATTAGACATATTGACTGGATTTAAGATCATTTCACTTGACAAGATGCCATTTTTTTTGCAGTGTGGGTGTTCAGAATGCTTGACCATCCCCTCTTTTTGATGAACATGTCTAAAAACACAGCAAAACTGACCGCTGTTCACTTCAGTACTACCACAGAAAGAAATCACTTCTAACATGGCAAAGCAAGCTGTATCGTCCAACAGAGAACCGAAAAAGAAGAGGTCGTATGTAAAAGCTGGTGCGCATCTGATCAAATGACATGTTTTGTTGAATTTCTAAATGAAAAGTTAACAAATCTTCTGCAGAACAAGCCTAAATTCGGTCTCACTTTATTTGGATAGTCCACTGTAGGCCCCTATAGTTTATCTACAGATGTTCAAATTGGTAACAAACTATCTGCTGAAGCTCTAACAGTGGTGGGGTTAGGGTTAGGATTTGGACCAGGGTTAAAGCTAGCACCAGGGTGAGGGTTGGGTTTGGGTTTTGGGTTGAGGTTAAGGTCAGGTTTAGGATTAGAGCAGGTTTAAGATTAAACAGAATTATGGTCAGTTTAGTAGATATTTAGTTGAATGTAACTTGAAAGTAAATTAAGTATCTACAAAGCATCTACAGTGGACTATCCAAAAAAAGTGTTACCCTAAATTTTACAATTTTCTGCAAATTTTAGTGCAAAATTTGTATTTCGTCACTGACGGAACAAAAATGGTAACTTTACAGGAGAAGGAAAAACGTTCTTAAAGGGGAACTCCACCAATTTTGCAAAATTACTCAAGCATTTAATGGTTTGGATGTAAACAAAGTCATTCAGAGTGGTTTGGTGTGAAATGTGTCTTTCTGGAGAAACTTACTGAGTCAGAATTATATACCATTATAGTACCAGGAACCGGACGTCCAAAGCAGTTAATGGCTCTAAAAGCTACATTCTGTTATTATATAAAATGGTTATGAATGCATTGCTAAAACATGTTTTTAGTCTAAACTGTTACTCCAGGATTACTTCAGTGTTTTCTCTCAAAACCGCATCTCAACTGAGATCAATGCGCGCAATGCTAACGTTTTTGTAGTTACTCACCCGTAGATGCAGTACATGAGGTACACGCAGGGCGTTGTAAGGATAAATAGAACCCAAAGAAAACAATTTTTTTGGATTTCGCACTATTTTATCATCGTCAGCATGACTTTCAAAACCTTATGAGACACGTAAGCTCACTGGTCATTTTGGAGAGCAGATAAAATGGTGATATTTGTAGTGCAGACATACGGACGTCTGGTTCCTATTACTGTAATGGTGAAAAATTCTCACTTGGTAAATTTCTCTAGAAAGGCACATTTCACACCAAACCACTCTGAATGACTCTGTTTACATCAACTATCAAAAGATTAAGTAGTTTTGCAAAATCGGTGGAGTTCCCCCTTGAGTGTTAATGGAAGTTAATGCAGCGAATATCTATTCCAAGTAATTTCCAAATATATGGTCCAATCATAACAACATTTTAAAAAATATAAAGGGTAGCTGGTGTTTTCAAATGATATCAAAAAATGAAAAGCAACAAAAAAAATGGTGATCGTCGACAGCACCGATTTATTTATAAAAACATAATTATAAAGTGTGCCATAACTTTTGCACAAGCCACATTCTTTGTTTGTTTTTCCCCCCCTGTACGTTAAATTCATCAAATAAACAGTAATTGTGCATTAAAATGTGCAGAAGTGTGTCTCTGTAGAGGATGTGTCAAGTTATTATTCTCCAATCAACAAAACATGTAATTTGACTAGGGCGCCCAAACTTTTGCACACTGTAAGGACATTATCTACACATGATAAGAGTTCAGTTCTTTTGGACGCGATCACCTTCTAAAAGTTCTCGATCAGCTTCTCGAACAAATCCAGGAACTTCTGTCTCCTCTCTAGAGACGCCGTCTCCATTTCTGCTTCCGCCGATTTTTCGCTCTCTTGGCCGGAGTCGTCCCGGTCGCCCTCCTGCTCCCCCCCAGCGCCCCCCCGCTGTCTCTCCAGGGCGGCTCGGTTCCTTTCCAGCTTCGCTCTCTCCTTCTCCATCTCGGCCCGCTCTTTCTCCAGCTGGGCGCGCTCGTGCTCCACCGATGCTCGGTCCCGCTCCACGGCGGCCTTCTCCCTCTCCAGAGACGCCCTGTCCCGGTCCAGAGAGGCCAGTTCCCTCTCCAACCCGGCCCGCTCCCTGTCCAGCACCATCTTCTCTCGCTCCAGCACCATGCGTTCGCTCTCCAGGGCGGCCCGGTCGCTCTCCAGCAGGGCCCTTTCTTGCTCCATCTCGTCCCGGTCGCTGCCCGCGTCCACCCGGTCCCCCGACAGCCTCGACTCATCTCCCTCCACGAGGAACTCGATCTCGCTCTGGTACGACTCGCGGCCTCTCTTCCTGGGCCTGTCGGGGCGGAAGTCACTGTCGTCACCGAGCGACAAAGTGGACACCATGGCTTCGCTGTCCTTCAGTCGGCCCTCCATGGCGTCATCCATGAGGGAGAACCACTGCCAGTTAGTGGGATTCACCGTAACCCCGGGCGGTGGGTTCTTCATTTCCTGAAAGACGATAGATACCATTTAAAATTCAACTGTGCCAACCGGTTTCTACACTCACTGTCCATTTTATCAGCTCCACTGACCACATAGGAGCACTTGGTAGTTCTACAGTTACAGACTGTAGTCCATCTGTTTCTCCGCATACTTTGTTACCCTGTTCTTCAGTGGTCAGGACCCCCATGGACCCTCACAGAGCAGGTACTATTTGGGTGGTGGATCATTCTCAGCACTGCAGTAACACTGACGTGGTGGTGGTGTGTTAGTGTGTGTTGCGCTGGTCTGAGTGGATCAGACACAGCAGTGCTGCTGGAGTTTTTAAACACCTCAGTGTCACTGCTGGACTGAGAATAGTCCACCAACCAAAAATATCCAGCCAACAGCGTCCTGTGGGCAGCGTCCTGTGACCACTGATGAAGGACTAGAGGATGACCAGCACAAACTGTGCAGCAGCAGATGAGCTATCGTCTCTGACTTTACATCTACAAGGTGAACCAACGAGGTAGGAGTGTCTAATAAAGTGGACAGTGAGTGGACATAGCAGGCTGGGCAGTATGGCAATACATATTGTGATCATGATAAATAATATCACAATACAGTACAATATGCTTTCCTGAACACATCGTCTGTACTTGTAGAACAGTGACCAACTGCCTGTTTCATCATAAACAGAGCAAAATTAGTCCTGTTTAACTGCATTTAAAGCAACACAGCAACATTTCATAGCTGAAACCATTCAAATGTCATCTGACCAGTTAATGACATTCATTAAAGCTTAATATGTTTTATTTGTAACACAGAATATTAAACAGTGGAATAGTATAAATATCAGGATTTCTAGGCATCTCTGTCAAAAATGGAGATACAAGGTTTTGTTCTGAAGTATTGAAACATTTTGTCGCTATTCAGAAAAACGAACTGCATTTTTTTTTTCATTTTTCTACATCATTCGAGCACAGCGGCTGCCCTTTACACTGTGTGAACGTTTCATAATGAAATGCTCCAAAATTGCTCGGAATAAAACTATTTTGCATTATTTTACATCAAAAGTAAATACTGTTGTTGTCATTCCCAGTAAAGACGCCATTTTGGACATACTTGTTTTTCTTTAGACGCTGACGATATATTCCTTATATTGAATTGCACTGAAAGCATTTGCTCATTTTTGGCTAAAATTTAAAAAAGCCAGTAAATTTTAATGCGGAAATGTAAACATCCTCAGTCTTCATCTACTCTGAGGCCCATGGAGAGGCCTTTCAGTTATTATGCTTTTAATCTGTGGAACTCAATTCCACCTTTCATTAGGCAGTCAAGCTCAGTGCTCACTTTTAAGAAGCACCTAAAAACGTATCTCTTTAAGTTAGCATTTAAATAAAACTCCACGTCTTGTGGTGTTTATCTTTCAATTTGATCTTTAATTTTCTTCTGATTCGAAATAAATACTAATGATTTCTTGTATAACTGTTTTATCACCTGTCTGTAAAGCACTTTGAGCTGCCACCGGCATGAAAAATGCTAAATAAATCAAATGATTACTATCATTATTATTATTATTATTATTATTATTATTTGTGCACATCGACTCACTGACAGGGAAGTGTGTAGCAGATGCAGTATCTCTCAGAAGAGCAGAGGTCAGACGTTATGGCTACGCTAGATATGGCCAGCGTTAGCTCTATCAGTCTGAATCAGACTACAATAATCTTCTGCATGGTGAAATTTGAGATGCACTGAATTTTCTAAAGGATCAGCATTAAATCATTGAGAGTCACTGTACGTCTTTAGGGACTTTCTTCACCATGAATGCATTTAATGGATTATGTTTTATGCCAAAAACTGCGATAAAACAAAGTCTGAGACATCAAGCAGTGAATTCATAACAATGTCATGTAATAACTCTCTCTGAGGGAGCTTTTAGAGGTGGACGTCTGGTTCCTATCAGCACCACTGTGAGCAATTCTGCCTCTGTAAGTTTCTCTATCACGGAGCCTTCCACACCAAACCACTCTGAACGTCTCTGTTTACATCTTAACAACTGAACTGTGCAGATATTTGAGTTTTAAAAATATATTTTATAATAATACACTATATTTTGTTACTGGAAGGCATGAACAAAACAGTTTTAACAGGAACTGAGTAACTTCTATATAGCATAAACTGTTTGTTTTCTCATTCGAGGAGGGGGTGGGGTTGGGAAACTTTGACTTGCTATATTAAACATCTTCTCAGAGAAACTCTGGGCAGCACTGGTCTACCTCAACTGTAGTTTTAAGCCGATCGCTTTATTAAATGGGTTTTGTCAATTTGAGATGCACCGAACTTCCTAAGGAATCAGCACTAAATCATTGTGAGATCAGAGATTTACTCTCCTGGTTGCAGCTCCCTCTAGCTGTGCACAAATGAAACTGCAGTTATGTAGTGTTTTTTTTTTCCGGGACACAGTCTGCAAGAGGCATATCTACTGTTATACTATACTTTACTAAAGAACCCTCTTTTTCAAGTGTGCACTTTGATGTGAAATGTTCCGTTCTAGAGAAACTCACTGACGCAGATGTCTTTACAGTGGTGGTGATAGGAACCAGGGGTCACCATGACTACAACACAAATATAGACATTTTATGTTTATATGGAATGTTGACGATGGAAAAATAGTGGGGGAAAAAAATATTTGGGGACTTTTTTTGCCTTGAACGGATTTTAAGTGTATTTAATGGATTATGTTTTATGCCAAAAACTGCTGTAAAACAGTGTCTCAGTCATCAGGCAGTGAATTCACAACGTCATGTCGTAACTTTCTGAGAGGGAGCTTTTAGAGGTGGACGTCTGGTTCCTATCACCACCACTGTGAACAATTCTGACTCTAAGTAAGTTTGTAAGTTTCTCTAGAACAGAGCGATTCACACCAAACCACTCTGAACGACTCTGCTTACATCTTAAAGGTTAAGATGTAAACAGAGTCATTCAGAGTGGTTTGGTGTGAAACGTTCTGTTATAAAGAAACTTACAAACTTACTTAGAGTCAGAATTGTTCACAGTGGTGGTGATAGGAACCAGACGTCCACCTCTAAAAGCTCCCTCACAGAAAGTTCTTAAAAGAAAAACATTTTTTTTCAGATTTTCCATCATGAACATTCCATATAAACTCAGAAGACACGTGTTGGTTCGCTGGTGGTTCTGGATAGTAAATAAAATAGCTATTTGTGTTGTAGTCATGGTGACCCCTGGTTCCTATCACCACCACTGTAAAGACACCTGAGTCTGAATATTTCTCGACAGTGAACCATTTCACACCAAACCACTCTGAATTTGACATCTCAAGGACTTAATTATTCCAAAGTTTTCAAAAATTCCCCTTTAACAACTGAACTGTGTAGATATCTGAGGTTTAGAAATGTATTTTTTAACAATACACTAGATTTTGTTACTGAACTACTCGGACAATACAATTTTAACGTGAAAATAAGACTTGAAGAAGTTATATATGGTATAAAACTGTTTTCTCATTAGAGGAGGGGGTGGGGTTAGAGAAACTCTCTGACTTGCCAAATCAAATGTAGTCTCAGAGAAACTCTGGGCAGCCCTGGTCTCACTCAGCTGTATTTTTGAGCTGATTACTATATTAATTGGGTTTTGTGTTTATAAGCACAGTGAACTGTAAAAGCTCCTCTTTGGGGGAAAGTGTGACGACGACTCACCTTGTATTTCTTCTTGAGATTTTCCCACTTCTTTCGTGCCTGACTGGTGGACATCTTCCTCTGGATTCCCATCTCTTTCAGGATGGCCCTGCCACACCGACCACAGCAAGACTATTGTAAAGCTACTGTAATTATTATTTATATTTTCGTGCTGTATTTAGTGGATTTGTGTGAGTTTGTGAGTGAAGTGTGCAGACTGACTGCATTACCTCCAAGCAATGACTGATGTGTTTCTCTTTCCAGTGAAGAGCGCATCGTTAGCAGCACGTAACCTCACAAACTTCACCAGTTCGGCTTCGGACACTGAGGAAAATCCAGAACTGTTAACCCTGAAGCTTAAAGGGAAACTCCATAGGTTTTTCAAATATTCTGGATAATTCAACCACTGAGATGTAAACAGTTATACAGAGCATTTTTAATGTGAAATGCTTTGTTTTAGAGAAACTTGCAGACTCAGATGTCTTTACAGTGGTGGTGATGGGAACCAGGGGTCGCCATGACTACAACACAAATATAGACATTTTATTTACCACCCAAAACCACCAGTGAACCTACACGAGTCTTCTGAGTTTTCAGAAATGTTTCAGGCATCAGGCGACCATTTTAAATAATACATATAATACATTTTGCATAACCATTTTAAATAATACCTTTCTGTGAGGGAGCTTTTGGAGGTGGACGTCGGGTTCCTATCACCACCACTGTGAACAATTCTGACTCTGTAAGTTTCTCTAGAACGGAGTGTTTCACACCAAACCACTCTGAATGACTCTGTTTACATCTTAACCATTTAATTATGTAGAAACTTTGAAAAAACCTGTAGAATTCCTTTTTAAACTTCACAATGGATAAAAAGGCCAAACTTATATTTTTTTTCTTCAAGGAGAAGCAGATAAAAAACATGGTTTTTTTGAGTTTATGCTGTTTTTTATAATTATCCAAAGGAATGCAGATGCTTCAAATCCTATTTTGACCATAAAATAAACCAATATACAGTGATCTACATACTTAACACGGTATTAAAGTATGTAGATCTTTACACAGTTTATGATCTCCAGATTTACTGTTAATATACACATACAGATTAAAAGGCAATGATTTAAATGCCAAAATGTCTCATTTTGCAATTCAAGACCTTTTATTTTACAAGAGAATTTCTTCACCTAACAGTGTGCTTTGCTGTAATTGTGTGAACTGTGACTTTAATATTTAAATCTTTCTAGTTCAAAAAAAGGGGGGATTTCACTTCTGAACACTTCTCCATATTATCTAACTTACAATGGACAATTACAGAAACAAAACACGCTTTGGGTAAATAAAATATGATTTTTGATCTACGGTGTGATTTAAGCTTACAGCAATAACCCGTCAACAAAGCAACTGTTTTCTTAAAGTATTAACATATAGGTCTATTAAAGAAATATGAATTCCTTATCTATAGAGCCCCTAAGGTGACATAGTGATTATTTTTTAATAAGGAGTGGACATAAATTAATATATATATATATATATATATAGTGGATCAGACACAGCAGTGCTGCTGGAGTTTTTAAACACTGTGTCCACTCTCTGTCCACTCTATTAGACACTCCTACCTTGTCAGTCCACCTTGTAGATGCAAAGTCAGAGACAATAGCTCATCTGCTGCTGCACAGTTTGTGTTGGTCATCCTCTAGTACTTCATCAGTGGTCACAGGACACTGCCCACAGGACGCTGTTGGCTGGATATGTTTGGTTGGTGGACTATTCTTAGTCCAGCAGTGACACTGAGGTGTTTAAAAACTCCAGCAGCACTGCTGTGTCTGATCCACTCAGACCAGCGCAACACCACACACCACGTCAGTGTTACTGCAGTGCTGAGAATGATCCACCACCCAAATAGTACCTGCTCTGTGAGGGTCCATGGGGGTCCTGACCACTGAAGGGTAAAAGGGGGCTAACAAAGTATCAGAGAAACAGATGGACTACAGTCTGTAACTGTAGAACTACAAAGTGCACCTATATAGTAAGTGGAGCTGATAAAATGGACAATGAGCATCGAAACAAGGAGGTGGTCATAATGTTATGCCTGATCGGTGTATTAATTTGTGGCTTCAATATATTAATTTGTGGCTTCAATATACTATTTTGTGGCCTCAACATAGTAATTTGTCGCCTCAACAGAGTAACTCACGGCCTCAACATTTTAATTCATGCCCTTAGTATATTAATTTCAGGCTTCCATATATTAATCTTTGTCCACAACACAGTAATCTGTGGCCTTAATATAGTAACTAATGGCCTCAATATATTAATTTGCAGCCTCAATATAGTCATTTATGGCCTTAATATTTTAATATTTGGATATAATACAGCAAATCATTGCCTCAATATATTTTTGTAGCATTAATATATGAATTTGTGTCCTCAATATTGTAATTCGTGGTCTTAATATAGCAATTCATGACCTCAACAAATCAATGTATGGCCTTAATATAGCAATCCATGGCCAAATAGGTTAATTTGTGGGCACGCCTTAATTAAACAAATCATCACCATGTCAGTTTAGAGGCTCAGCGCGGCTGAAGCTTCATTTAAGGTGAACTGGGCACTGAAACAAAGAGAAGGCGTAACTATTCTCGGCCGCCTCGTCTGAGACCCTCAACACGGCTAAACAAACTCCAGCTCCGCTCCTGGACGCAGCTACAGAGCCGCTAAGCTGCAGGGCTGCGATTATCCAGCTGCTCTGTAGTCTCGGACTCGGACTCGAGTCTCCTCTCTAGTCTACTCGCTGGAGCTGCTAGTCAAGATGGCCGCATCCGTTTCGGTGAACAGAGCCGAAAACGCCGCGCCGCGGCCCGCCGAGCGCCCGTACTCACGCTTATACGTGAAATCCGGATTAATCAGGATGTCGTCGTTCTCTTCGGGCGGCGTCTGCACGACATACAGCGCGTGGTCCATGCTGAAAAGTTTCATTCACTCGCGGAGCGAAGTGGACGAGTGCGTACACGAAGGGCACTTCGAAGGAAATGGAGGCGCCTCGCTTCCGCCTTTTCGAGTGCGCGCTCCGCACGCGTCGGGCTTCAGACACTTAACCTGATTAAAACTGGAGTGTTTTTATTTTTTTAACAGAGAAAAGTGAGTTGAAGGTGACACGAAGCAGCACACTTTTACATTTTTATACGATTTATTTTTTTTTATAAATAATACGGGGAATACAAATTACAGTACGTTATTTAGGCCCCACAAGTTCTAAAAAACACATGAACAAACAAACAAATAAACTAAATAAATAAATAAAGGGGATTTTTTCGGTCATATAAAGTGCACAGAGTACTTTATTCAGGCCCCACAGGTTCTAAAAATAAATAAATAAAAAAGAGGGACTTCTTTTTCATATATATATATATATATATATATATATATATATATATATATATATATATGTGTGTGTGTGTGTGTGTGTGTGTGTGTGTGTGTATGTATATATGTAATACCAGACATACAAATTACAGTACGTTATTTAGGCCCCACATGTTCTAAAAATAAATAAATAAAAATCGTATTGTAAAAATCGTTTGTATTTCTCGTATTACATAGATACATACATATACATATATATATATACTTCTTGGGATATATAAATCGGGGTCTACAAAAAAAAATTAATAATAATAATAATAATAATAATAATAATAAAAGATATCGTTTCATTTGGCTAAAACTAACAAATAAGCTTATGGGATACATCTTTAACTTTTTTGGGGGAATGTTTATGTTTAACGTTTCCCAAGACAGAATTTAGTATAACAAGACGTAACACCAGACTTCTGCCTGAACTTGTCTGGTCTTTCTCTCTTTCTAAGAGAAACAGGGGGAGGTAGAGAGTTTTGGAGCAAAAGGGCGACAACGCGACACAACTTCGAAGTAGAAAAGCGACGCCTGTGGTTGGCCGCCGATTAAAATTACGTCAACTCTGCTTGGTTCCATATAAACGCGGCTGCGCGGTTTCGGCGCACATACGTTGGAGGCGCGTTCACGGCAGGAGTCGGAGAGTTACTCAGCTTTTCTCGGAACAAATAATATTAACGATATCCACCAAAAACCAATACACTCTGTTTTTCTTCCACACATTCGCTTCTGTTCACACCCGTTCTCAGTGGCGTCACAGCGAACCGGACTTTATTTAGGGTGGTATTTGGTGCTATGTGCGTTGAGGCCATGCCAGCGGAAGAGAAACGGCAGCGTGTGGATCGACCGTCGGGGTCCAGGTCCAAGAAGAAGAGACTCGTGTATGTGAACCTTCTGAAAGCAGCAGTTCGCAGATACACGGCGCTGTGGGAGGCGAAGAAGCGAAGGAGCCACCGCAGGTCGCCCAGGCTATGTGGAGGGCAGGCCGGCCTGCCGTCTGGAGCGATGGCGCCGAGAAACACGACGCAGTACTTGATGGAGCTCGTCTACTCAGACCTTTCAGCACGGGGCGAGTCGGACTTCTCTAATCCGAGTAAGGTTAATCGGACTTCTAGTCGGGAGGAACCTTTCTCTCCTCATAGTGTTTATTCGTCTCTGTATTCCGACGACGAAACTATGGACTTCCAGCAGCGGGACTTCGAGGACGTGTACTTTCTCCACGAGCTGTGACGAGACTTAACGAACAGGTTCCGAACACCGAAGGCGGAGATAGCCGAGCAGCCGAACGCAGAGACATTGTGTTCATATGTGCGTAAATGCTGTAAATCTTTATTTATTGTTAATCTCTGTTGAATCATCCGCTTATAAAACTCAAGGTTGGGGGTCCCCCCCCCCTCACAGTTTCATTGTCCTGTTGTATGTATGCACTGATTATAAGGGTTGGCTCTCCTTGTCTCACAGCAGTGCAGGGACGTGTCCGCTGCCTACACAGAGCGAGAGCCCCGTCCAGGCCTGGTCAGACCACGTGGCCAACAGGTAAACCTGTCCCTCCTGCGGGTGTCCACGGTCAGTCTGCCCCGTCCAGGCCTGGTCAGACCACGTGACCAACAGGTAAACCTGTCCCTCCCGCAGGTATACATGGTCAGTCTGAAGGTGTTGGCGTTTGAAAGTGCTGTGAATGGTCTGTTGCTTGCCCTTCAGATTCCTCTGTGTTTAAGAGCCTTTTACAGGTCTGCTGATCCCCCTCACTGGAGGCTTTCAGCTCAACGTGGTCTGGAGGAGAAGCCAGGCTGAAAGGCTCCGGGTCATCAGACTGGGGGTAAACTCTTTCTTTGATGCTGCGGTAACTGTAATAGCTTTAATCTGTTAAATTATGCGTCTGTTAATGTTTAACTGAGTTTTAATGGGAGGAAAAAATGTACATGCAGATTTTAATGCATTGTTTCATATACGTAATGCTCTTGTTTATTCACCTGCTAATTAAACCTATTCTTTAACATCTGCTTGTGTTTTCTGTGAATTGAGATTTGGGTGATAAAATAAGGCTGTTCATTATATTGAAGGTGTATCTATGAATAATTGTTTTCTTCGAGTGACTAAAATTCAAAGGCAACATTTTCACCATATTCAGAGAGGGCTTTAACATTAAAACTAATGACATTAAAACAATAGTTTTAATATTGTTCGCCCATATGTCCATATATAGATAGAGGTGTGTATGTAGGTAGTGTGTCTATAGATGGATAGATATTGTTGCCGTGCCTTAAAAGGGGAATTCCACTTGGGTTTCACTTCAGAGTTGCTGATGTAACTCCTGTGAAACTGAAGTGAAATGGTTGGCTGTAGAGAAACTGACTGATTTCTTTGCAGTGATGGTGATGGAAACCGTGAGTATATATGAAAACCAGTGAACCAGCTTGTGTATTGGCGGTGACTACTATGAAAATAGTGAAGTGTCTGGAGAAGTTTTGTTTGGGGACTTTTTCAACGTCTTACATCCTACAAGTATGAAAACAATGTCTCGGACCGCAGGCAATGAATTTTGTAGGTATTTTGTGTAATAACATCCTGATCTAGCTTTTCGAGACATTAAACCTTTCAGATGTCAACAGTTCTGATTTAGTTTCTTTATAATGGCAGATTTTTACATTAAACCACTGATTAATAAATTATCCCACATGCAATGTAATGTTATTTTATAATTAGAATTAATATATAAAATGTGCGTCACGGTGGCGCAGTGGGTAGCTCTGTCGCCTCACAGCAAGAATGGCCTGGGTTCGATACCCAGCCGGGTGACCAGGGTCATTTCTGTGTGGAGTTTGCCTGTTCTCCTCGTGTCTGTGTGGGTTTCCTCCGGGTACTCCGGTTTCCTCCCACAGTCCAAAAACATGTAGTCAGGCCAATTAGACATGCTGAATTGCCCCTAGCTGTGTGTGTGTGTGATTTGTATATGTATGTATGTCTGTCTGTCTGCCCTGGCGACCTGTCCAGGGTGTATCCTGCCTTCCACCCAATGACAGCTGGGATAGGCTCCAGCACCCCAACGTGACCCAGAAGGATAAGCAGTTTAGATGATGTATGTATGTATGTATATATAAAATGTTATGCGCAGGTTTTGAAAGCTCTGTGCCTTCAAAAGGGGAATTCCACTCATTTTTCAGTGACTGTTGCTGTAATTCAGAGTGGTTTAATGTAAAAAGGTTCGTTGTAGAAATGTAGTGACTCAGATGTCTTTACAGTGGTGGTGGTAGGAACCAGGGGTCGCCATGACAACACAAATATCCATTTTATGTACTATCCAAAACCACTAGTGATCCTATATAAGTCTTCTGAGATTTTATGTGACCCAACAGTAGTAAATCTAAAAAATGTTTTTTTTCTAGGCACTATTTTGCTTCAGAATGGCCTGTATTTGCCTCTCTGCCTTTAGTATTGCCAGTATTATTAAAACATTTTAAGCCAAAAGTCTCACACAGGCAGCTTATAACCACTTCATGTAAGAGCTTTCTATGAGGGAGCTTTAAAAGGTGTTAAGTGCTCGATTGTCTGGTTCCTATCACCACCACTGTGAACAATTCTGACTCTGTAAGTTTCTCTAGAACAGAGCGTTTCACACCAAACCACTCTGAATGACTGTTAACATCTCAGCCATTTAATTATGCAGAAGAGGATTAGGCAATGGTACAAAAGTGCAGAGCCCCTAAGATGACATGGCGTTTTCTTATTTTAAATAAGGCGTGGCCACGAGAAACTTAACTCATGATCCCTATGTATCATCTCCATGTCACTGAAGGGGCTCTGTGTAAGTGCGTGCAGCAGTGCTAAAACCGAATAATTGGGGCCGTTCAAGCGAAATAATTAGAAGTTAGGAAACCCAGGCTTCACACGGGAGCTGACTTCACATTGCTAATATTACCAGGACTGTATGATTTTGTCTATTCGCCTGGTACAAAATGTGCTTCTAGTTTAAAGACCTTTAGTACTAATAGGTTAAACTTTACGAGGGTTGATATACTGAACGTTCTGCATTCATTGGGAGAGTTTTTCACCAGAAGTAAAACAAAAATATCAGTGATGTCTACAGCACTGTGTGAACGTCTTAAGCAAAGATACCAAAGCAAACTGGGCTCAGCAGTTTCTGCTTGTAAAATAAATGCAAGAAAAAAATCATTGCAGTAAAAAGTAACAAGAGTGTGTTTTCTTAAAAGTAGGTGTTGTGAGGTCATCACATGGACGTGTTCAAATCTGTCAGCACACCTGATTTAATTTAATAAAGTATTGATTAGATAAACCAGGTGTTGAATGTTATTTACAAATAATACCGGACTTCCACCAGGAGAAGTCTAGAAATCAATAAAACACACTGTTATACATAAAAACACTGCTTACTGTATTAATGTTATTTGTATTTATGCTAAAATGTTTTTTTTCTGACCAAATAAACACTTACTGTCCAGTTTTAGTGCCTAAAATTTACATTGTAACAATAGCAGAACCTTTTTTGGTGCTAAATAGAACCATTCTCTAAAAGCTTTTATATAGAACCCTATACAACATGTTCTCCATCAGTCTGAAGAACTATTTCATCATGCAAGGAGCCATTTAATCAT